TATCCTTCCCCAAATTACGATCAGACATTCTCCTCAGCTGTAATTAAACATTAGCTTTTATTTGTTCCAGATGGGGCTTTGTTTTGAAGTTTTATTTTCGAAAGAAAACCCTTTCTGCTCTGGGAAACACGACTGCATCCAAACCTGGCAAATCGGAAACCCATGTTCCTGTGTTTCTTCTTGGCTATATACTGGAATCCAAGGCCATGTTCTACATCCACATCCAAAGAGATATAACAGGATGATTCCTACTCGCATATCATGATATCCGGTGTCATACAAGAGCTTTTTGCTCATTTGTTTTCCTGAATCATTTCAAAGTTCTTCAATGAACACAAACTTATTTTCTGCAAGCCTTTGGATTTCTAAGAGCAGATGTTATGTTATATCAGTGACGTGGAGTAGAAGATATTCTTGTGTATCATTAATAACAGTTCATAACTGTGAGATGAGCATACCAAATTTCACACACTCCTAGTACTTTTACAACCAATCTACTGGTACACACCACAACCCAATGAACCAAGATGTCAGACACCAAATGTGTCTTATAAATTATCCAGCATAATCCCCATATAAATATTTAGATGAGCCTTTAAGACAGAGCATCTCTTTTCTGTGTGAGAATATCCTATTACACAATCACAGCCCAAGAGAAAGCTGGACTCTTATTGTGAGAGATAGAAAAGAGGAAATGTAATGCATGATAAAAGCAGTGCTTTGTGTGCAAATGCAGTTAAGTAGATTTTGTGATTGACCAAAGTGAAAAGCCCAAGTGTAAAGAAAAGAAAAGGCAAGCGGAAGGAACGTAAAGAAAAAAACAATGGATGAAAGTGGTGGAAGATAAAGACAGTACGATCTGAGACTGGGAGTGAAAGAGGTCAAGAAAAGCAGCAGGAGGGGCGGGATTCCTGGAGAGGTCATTAAGAGGACAAGCACTCACTTGCTGTTAATGACACTGGAGTATCACTCTAATCTGCCATCATTAGCCTGATTATATCAGGGGCCTTCACCTCCAATCAATGGCACCAAATCAATAGAAAGAGGATATCATGTGATCCGGCCAAAGGCAAATCCAGCCTAGACAGCCAGACTCAGCCAATCACAGTTGAACCAAGTTCAGCTCTTCCTAGCTCACCCAGCACAGTTTACTTCAGCACAGCATGCAGAAACTTAGTCCAGTTTAGCCTAGATGTGTGCGCTTTTACCCACCTAACCTAGTTACGCTCTACTTGTGTGTCTGAGCTATTCTTATTACTGATGTATACTCTATGTTGTTGTTTTTTCGTCCAGAAATGAATACTTTTATACGGAAGCCCTGAACCACAACAGTAAAAAAAGATATAAAAATCTGTAAAAAATTTTTTTTTTAAAATCTAGCATTTCGAGATTAAAGTCGAAATATTTAGAGATTAAAGTCGAAACATTTTGAGATTAAAGTCGAAACATTTCGAGATTAAAGTCGAAATATTTCAAGATTAAAGTAATAAAATTTCGAAATTAAAGTCGAAACATTTTGAGATTAAAGTCGAACATTTCGAGATTAAAGTAGAAATATTTAGAGATTAAAGTCGAAATATTTCAAAATTAAAGTAGAAATATTTCGAGATTAAAGTCGAAACATTTCGAGATTAAAGTCGAAACATTTCAAGATTGAAGTCGAAACATTTCAAGATTAAAGTCGAAAAATTTCAAGATTAAAGTCGAAACATTTCGAGATTAAAGTCGAAATATTTCGAGATTAAAGTCAAAATATTTCGAGATTAAAGTCGAAACATTTCGAGATTAAAGTCGAACATTTCGAGATTAAAGTAGAAATATTTCGAGATTAAAGTCAAAATATTTCGAAATTAAAGTAGAAATATTTAGAGATTAAAGTCGAAACATTTCGAGATTAAAGTCGAAATATTTCGAGATTAAAGTCGAAATATTTCGAGATTAAAGTCGAAACATTTCAAGATTAAAGTCGAAATATTTCGAGATTAAAGTCGAAATATTTTGAGATTAAAGTCGAAACATTTAGAGATTAAAGTCGAAACATTTAGAGATTAAAGTCTAAATATTTAGAGATTAAAGTCGAAATATTTTCGAGATTAAAGTCGAAATATTTTGAGATTAAAGTAAAAAAATTTAGAGATTAAAGTCGAAATATTTAGAGATTAAAGTCGAAACATTTCGAGATTAAAGTCAAAATATTTCGAGATTAAAGTCGAAACATTTCGAGATTAAAGTCGAAACATTTCGAGATTAAAGTCGAAACATTTCGAGATTAAAGTCGAAACATTTCGAGATTAGAGTCAAAATATTTCGAGATTAAAGTCGAAATATTTCGAGATTAAAGTCGAAACAATAAAGTCGAAATATTTCGAGATTAAAGTCAAAATGTTTCGAGATTAAAGTCGAAATGTTTCGAGATTAAAGTCGAAATGTTTCGAGATTAAAGTCAAAATGTTTTGAGATTAAAGTCAATATGTTTCAAGATTAAAGTCGATATGTTTCGAGATTAAAGCCGAAATGTTTCGTGATTAAAGCCACGAGAATACAGTCTTCCGTAGCAGATGCGTGTGTGCTTGCCTTTGTCTCACATTGCCACACACACAGGCATTCATAATGGTGCATAGCAAGTGTTTCACACTGTGTGTGTGTGTGTTTATGTGTGTGTTTTATTTCAACAAAAGGAAATTCAACTGGTGCCAATCTACCAGCATTAGGCTTCCATTATAGGACGTTATAAAATATACTGTGCCGTAATAGACTTTAGCCTATAGACCAACCCGGAAAACACTTTAATCTCGAAACATATCGACTTTAATCTCGAAACATTTCGACTTTAATCTCTAAACATATCGACTTTAATATTGAAACATTTCGACTTTAATATCGAAACATTTTGACTTTAATCTCGAAACATTTCAACTTTAATCTCGAAACATTTCGACTTTAATCTCGAAACATTTCGACTTTAATCTCGAAACATTTCGACTTTAATCTCGAAACATATCGACTTTAATCTCGAAACATATCGACTTTAATATTGAAACATTTCGACTTTAATATCGAAACATTTTGACTTTAATCTCGAAACATTTCGACTTTAATCTCGAAACATTTCAACTTTAATCTCGAAACATTTCGACTTTAATCTCGAAACATTTCGACTTTAATCTCGAAACATTTCGACTTTAATCTCGAAACATTTCGACTTTAATCTCGAAACATATCGACTTTAATCTCGAAACATTTCGACTTTAATCTCGAAACATTTCGACTTTAATCTCGAAACATTTCGACTTTAATATTGAAACATTTTGACTTTAATCTCGAAACATATCGACTTTAATCTCGAAACATTTTGACTTTAATCTCGAAACATTTCGACTTTAATATCGAAACATTTCGACTTTAATCTCGAAACATTTCGACTTTAATCTTGAAACATTTCGACTTTAATCTCGAAACATTTCGACTTTAATCTCGAAACGCTAGATTTTTTTTTTCTACATCACGGTTTTTCTACGTCAGGGCTTCCGTACTTTTATTCAGCAAGGATGCATTACATTGATAAAAAGTGAGAGAAAATATTTTTTTTAATGTCAGAAAAGATTTTTATTTCAAATAAATGCTGTTCTTTTGAACTTTCTATTCATCAAAGAATTCTGAAAAATCACCGTTCCCACAAAAATATGAAGCAGCACGACTGTTTTCAACATCGATAATAATCAGAAATGTCTCTTGAGCATCAAATCATCATATTAGAGTGATTTCTAAAGGATCATGTGACACTGAGGACTGCTGTATGATGCTTTGAAAAAACAAAAATGTATGTATATAGTTTTATATCTCTTCAAAAGTCTTGTCTACAAGCGTAAATGAAAAGAAAATTAGGCTGGACAGATGCAGCAGATCGCTGAGAGAGAGAATCTGGGAATAGTTATCAGCAGGTGTTTAACACCAACCAGACATGGATATTTCGTACCGTGAGCTCGGACACTGGCATTCAAACAGTGATTAGTGAGGGAGCGTGTATGTGTGTGTGTGTCTGTTTTCACTGAGCACACACACAGCAGATGTATGCGTCTGTGAGTGTCTCCGAGTGCCTGGATGTTGTTTGCGTGCAGTATCAACCACTGCACACCCGTCTTTTACCCAGCTGTGGGTTTAAAAAGCACCAGAACTTCAAAGGTGGTCAGTAAAGACATTCATTTGAATTCTTCATCCCAAATCTGCTGTAGTTGATGGTGCTATCCAGTCATTTAACCAATGTTAAGAAGAATCTGATGTTCCTTTAGAAGAAAAAACCCCATCATAAAACGACTTAATAATGCCCTCCATGAGAGTTTTTAAATAGGCTACCGATGGTTAAACTGTCCATAATCTCCTCCATCACAGATGCACTGTATAGATTTTACAGACTACGTGAATTAAAATGTGGTTTTAAAAAGTGTGTTAGCTTTGCAGTCATCTATATGATCATCAGTGCACTCCTAAAATACAAAATTACAGATTACATTTCAGCATATTTAATTTTTTTTTAAGAAAACAGAGCAATAATATTGATGACTCATCCTGCACTACACAGATTTTTGTCCAATCAAATGATCTCTAGTATGCCCCTCCCCCGAGGCGCAAATCATGTGACGTGGCTGGAGGTCACACCAAGAATGACTATAACCATAATCATAAAGTTGTAATAAGTGTTTTAATTCTATGAGAATGGTGAAGTCACACCAAAGCTATTACGAAATCGTCAATATTGTTGGAATCACTTCTTTTTTTTTTCACAGTCAATTGTCGATAAAAATATTATTGACAGCTGAGTCGACAGTCAACTGCAGAGTGATTTATTATAAGCAGAGTCCATTTATTACATGTATTACATATAATTATTCTTACATTTGTAATCTTTGTAATTTTAATTGCTTCTTGGTTTAAAAAAAGGAAAGAAATCTGGTCATGAAATCCCATTCTCTTGTTCAATCTCTCTCTCTCTCTCTCTTTAGGATGGCGTGGATGTGTGGATGTTATGGTGTGGTGTTGCTGGTCTTGGGTGTGATGGGACAGAAGCTGCCCACGCGTGATGAAGGCCTCTTTCAGATGCAGATCAGGGATAAAGCTCTGTTTCATGACTCTTCTGTCATGCCAGATGGGGCCGAGATCAGTGGATACCTGTTCAGGGATACACCGAAAAGGTGGGATCATCATCATACATATGAAACAGACAAGTTTAATAGATAGATTAACACAATCATTGACCTTAAAGGATTAGTTCACTTTTGAAAAAACTTTTGCTGATAATTTACTCACCCCCATGTCATCCAAGATGTCCATGTCTTTCTTTCTTAAGTCGAAAAGAAATTAAGGTTTTTGATGAAAACATTCCAGGATTTTCTCCATATAATGGACTTCATTGGGAACCAAACGGTTCAAGGTCCAAATGAGAGTTTCAGTGCAAACTGTTCAAAGGGCTTTAAACGATTCCAGACGATGAATAAAGGTCTTATCTAGCACCCTTCAAATCATGACTCGAAAAAAGATTCATTCATTTTGATGAACGAGTTCGAACAGAAGAGTCACGAACGCGCATCACAGAACAGAGCAAGGCGAGCATTTGAGCTTATAAAACTTAATTTTTTTTATTTATTTATTAAACGAGCGATCGTTTCACTAGATAAGACCCTTTTTCATGGCCTGGAATCATTTAAAGCCTTTTGAACAGTTTGCAGTTTGCACTGAAACTCTCATTTGGACCTTGAACCGTTTGGTTCCCAATGAAGTCCATTATATGGAGAAAATCCTGGAATGTTTTCATCCTTCACACCCTTGGACGGGAGGGTTTTGTATGATCATGTGCATAATGGATATGTCTTCATGTGTGGGAAGAAGAAATATGGCATCTATTATAGCCACAGTGCATTAGATGAGGGCAAGACATGCATTATGAATTAGATGCTGTGTGTGTGTGAGTACTGTGTATTGAGTAGCAGGTGGACTCAAATGGACGAATATCAACCATGTTCACCACGTCTATCAAACTGTACCACATGCGAGGTCTTAGCAAAAGGCTACAGGGTTATTTCTGCTGAGGATCCTGGATGAATTAATCAGAACGAACATACTACAGATGGCCGTATGCTGAGCTGTTCGCAATTTAAAACATTATAGTAATAACAAATCTCCCAGTTTTCCATTTGATGTCTATACCAGTGATTCTGCCAATGTCGTGTCCTGCTAATGAATTGCTGTGTTATCAAGTTTAGCTGATTACATTGAAGTCTACCACACATCTGTCATAATTATATTGCAGAACATGGAGTTGTAAGGTGCTCACAGAGAATCTGAACATGGGTCCTTGAAATCGTTGAAAGTTTGTGAATCTGAAAAAAAAAACAATTCAAGGCCCTGGAAAGTTTTTGAAAATAAGCATATATTGATAAATGGCCTTGAAAGTGCTTGAATTTATTTTGTGCAATTATTCCCTCCGGTCCGCTAATGTGTTATTTCGCCTATGCACGCTAGCTTTCTTCATTTACGTTAGTTACGCACATTTACGCGTTATGCTGTTTTTCCTGCGTGAGGTACTTTGTGCGCACAAAACTACCACGATGGTATCCCAACGTTTGTTATTGGACAACACATTAAGTTCTTGAATTTGAGAGTATTGGACCTGGAAAGTCCTTGAAAAGTCCAGACTGATCTCATGAAGTAGCGCGTGTATGACACGCCAATTCGTATTTCCATTTTTGGCGTGCTATCAAGGCGCATAATCGCTTTTCAGCGTGTTTATGAACGCCGTTGACTTAACAATATTACTGTATAAATATATGACTTACCTCAACCCCGTCCCTAAACCTACCCGTCACTGGGGTTAATGGCATTTATGACTGTTCCCTTACTATCCTAGGAAAAAAAAAAGATCGCTCCCCAGATGTAGATCTACATTTTGCGTCGTTTCGCGCGGACATTTGACGGCGGAATCACTGGGACGTTAATGGCGTAGAAATACACGCGGATAGCTCAAAATGCGTAGAGGTAACACGCCACTTGACTCGAAAGTGGCGTGTATGTTTACGCAAAAGTCATGATGTCACGTTGTTGAATTTGAAGCTAACCAAGGTGTGGGAACCCTGTTAAATGTTTAACGGACCAACCCAATCTAATGAGAAAACGTAATTATTTCCAAAGATATCGTACCAATTTTCGTACCAATATGTACGATGTATGGAAACATATGTTGGTCCACCAAACGAATGCATGATATCGGACAAATTATTCGCACCAATTCGCCAAAATGTAAAATACGAACAGCCATGAAGGTGAAATGGATACCCTTCATAAAACTCATTTTAATTGAAATGTTTATAACTGTGTGATGCCTTCTGTTTAACATATTTTGAAAAAGGAAAGGAAAAGGGTAGGTAGTACTCTGCGCTAAGTAGTAGCCCAGACAGCAAACTGACATCGAGTCAACGTGGAAACGACGTCTCTCATGACATTGAAACAACGTTGATTTGCTCATTGAATTAACGTTGAACCAACGTCAGACGCGGCATTCTTCAAAGCTAAATGAAATCGAAAATTGGTTTGCTTTCATAACGTTGAAACAACGCGTTGATTTCAAGTTGATTTTCCGTTAGTTTTGAAAGAATGACGCGTCTGACGTTGGTTCAACGTTAATTCGATGAGCAAAACAATGTCAGATCAACGTTGTTTCGATGTCATATTTCCACGTTGATTCAATGTCAGTTTGCTATCTGGGAGGCTAGTATTCCACTCCGGAAATGGCATTATAAATAGTTAACAGCTGAATTGTGTCCGGTGTGCTTTCTATAAGACATCTCACATGTGCAATGCATTGTCAAAAGCACACTAATTCAGTGGCACTAATTCTAAAAACGCTAACAAAGATAGTGGAAATGTGTTGAGGCAGCAAAGCCAGTGTAGCAAAGTTGTGTTTGGGGAATATGGTGCTAATTCGGTAGCGGTCTCTGAAAGGCCAGCTAGTTCTAATTTCAAGGCATTGTGTCTTGGGACGGGTTTTAATATATCTCAAGTACTTTTAAAGAGGAAACATGACTGCAATCAGACGGGCTAAATCAGCAACACCATTATGAATAACCTTGCTGAAATGGAAGTCTTGTACTTGGGGAGTTGTTGTTTTTTTCAAGCTCTGATATAGAAAGCATTATTGCCTCATTTTATGCTAAAATCGCACCTAAATCCTGAAAATATAAATGCATACAGATGGCTATTTTTCACACGGTCGTCAAAACCGATTTAGTCCAAACAAAGAGCACATCTGCTACACCACACCACGAGTCATGTTTAATTTCCTGCATAATTCCCATGTTGTCGTGTAGTTGTCGTCCTTGTTGGAGTGCATGCTAACTTTCCTCGCTTTTGCAGGTATTATTTCGTGGTGGAGGAAGACAACACTCCTCTGCTGGTGACGGTGACACCTTGCGATGCTCCTCTTGAGTGGAGATTGACGTTGCAGGAGCTCCCAGAGGACCGCAGTGGAGAAGGATCAGGTATCCGAATTAAATCTCCCAATCGATGTTGCAACTCTGCAGTAATTTAAGACTTGTTTTCCATGTAAACGTTCTAGACTATTATTAGAAAAACTGGCCTGAGATCTGTGGACGTCTCCCATAGCCATTCAATACAGCTTAAGGATTAAAGTAGGCAGTGGTATCTCCTTCCATTTATCTCCATAGGATTGAACCTGATTAGGAAAGAAGTCATTCCTAAATTAGGAATCATTTCAAACATAGAAGATTAGAAATTCCTTTCAACTAATATACATACTCCCAGACAGCAAACTGACATTGAATCAACGTGGAAACGACGTCTCTCATGACATTGAAACAACGTTGATTTTGCTCATCGAATTAACGTTGAACCAACGTCAGACGCGGCATTCTTCAAAGCTAAATGAAAATCGAAAATTGGTTTGCTTTCATAACGTTGAAACAACGCGTTGATTTCAAGTTGATTTTCCGTTAGTTTTGAAAGAATGACGCGTCTGACGTTGGTTCAACGTTAATTCGATGAGCAAAACAATGTCAGATCAACGTTGTTTCGATGTCATGTTTCCACGTTGATTCAATGTCAGTTTGCTATCTGGGCTACCAAGTGCAGTGATTGGAAATATCCTGGCTCTGTTCCCGAAACCTACTCCCATTGGCAGCTTTTTAATCTCCCAGTGTTAAGGCTGTCCTAAGTATTTACAAAGAAAGGTATCCCACAATGCACTGTGACAAAAGATGAGGATAAGGGAAATGTCTAAAATATATTTGAGTTGAGTGTCCTGTATGGCTCATTTGAGAAGCACTATTACGAGTAAGATGCTTCCTATGTAGGGAATAGACAGGAAGGCAGCACTACGCTTTGGAACAGGGTATTAGTGTTTGCAAGTTTCCAGATTTAACCAAAGAAAAAGTCAAAATGAGTGTCCTATAGATGCCCTCTTGGAAAGTTTTCTTCAGGTAAATATGTGTTTTCTGTGAAGTACTGTGGAGCGTGTCCAGTGTGGGTCAGTGTTTTCCAGCGTGGTCAATCATTAGTCCTGTTAGTGTACTCTTCTGCGTGTGAATTCTGGCCCTGTGTGACCGCACCTGATGTGCTAATGGACTGCATCTGCCGACTCACTGGAAAGCAAGAATAAAAGAATAGAAAAATCTGTGTGGGGGGTCGGGGGGCTGCAGGATCAGCAGAGGCATATTATATTAACAATACTGTATAATATTTTCAAGTATATACTTTATTTTCAAGTATACACTATATTTTCAAGTGTGGGTATCTGCAGGTCAGAGGAAAGGTAGAGGGCGTGTCGAAAGGTCTTCTGAATTGGTCTTGAACACTCCCTGTTAAGGTGTGGGGTCTTCCTCTGTAAGGGGTTAGTTTCTGTTGTTGCATTGCACAACTTTTGAAACGCCCCTACCATCGGCATTCCCAATACTCCAAACCTGAAGCTATCCCTACCTCTATATCATCACCTATAAACGTTTTTGCTTTGCTTTCACTATGAGTAAGCACATGGGGTTTTATGATTTATGATTTTTTATTTATTTATGTGTAAAATAAAGCCTGTAGTAAACTAGCCTGGCTAACGCCAGACCACATGTCATTGAGAGTGAAACGTGGTCTGGAAACCACGTGTTCATTTTCTCGTATTTGAGGCGTGGTTTACGAATGCCCGGAGCCGTATTATTGGGTGCGAATGTCTATCAAATGCGCCTGTATAGCTCATAGCCAATCGAGTCAATGATACCAGCGACAGAAAATTAGATGAGGAAAAAGACGATGGGTCAGAGATTTAGGAGATTTAACGTAAAACTTCAAATAATAGTCGAGTCCCAAATAGACGCCTGTCTCTTTTACACGCCTGGTGTGGCTGCAGGTTTGGGTAAATAAAAGCCGATCTCAAATAGAGGCCAGGTCTGTTTTTAGTTTCGGGATGTTAATCTTCTAAAACCGTCAGATCGTCCGCTTTTTGGCGGCCGCCAAAGAAAAATGGCGCCAACGCCTATTTTGATCGGTGAGCGATGTAGAATAGAATGACTGCTGCACTTGACGTAACGGGCAGAGAGAGAGAGAGAGATAGAGAGAGTCCCGGCCGCCCACGCGCACTCTCACGTCTTCAAACACGGGCGCTGTCTCCCTCACGCATATTAATCAAATCAATTGGCACGATAGTAAAAGGTTGGAAGACTGCAGTTTAGAGATTTTTAGAGATTAGAGACTCAATGAACAACATCTCAATACTAAATTATAAAGGCCGTCTCATAGACGCCTGTCTCAAACACAAGCCGGCGCAGTTCAACGATTTGGGAAAATAAAAGCCCGGGCTATTATTTAGTTCTAAGTTTTACGCTATGTGTACACAAATGCTGTATCAAAAGGTAACTTTGCATCCGCTGCCAAGATGGATCCATAGATATAAACAAACTGCTTCGGTGTCGCATACGTCGTCATCGTCTTGCCGCTCCCTCCCCGTTCTGTGATTGGTTCCCTATCTCAGGGGAAAATTTGGTTCATGGTGTCCAGGCTGCCTGGTAAACGTAACTTGACTATACGTTGACGTTATGTTCTACAACAAAAATCACACACACACACATAGAGAAAATGTACATTTTGAAGCAGTTGCGAATGTATATTTTTAATACGTAACTAGATAAGACAGTTTGAGTTGTGAGTGTGTGCTGTGGATGTTATAGAACAAAATGTTAAACTATCATCAAGTTATGTTTATCACAGGCTTTATTTTACCTAAAAATTGAAACCCCATAGGAAAAACTCAAAGGAACTACGTAAGCATGGTGAAAATAAAGCAAAAACGTGTTGATATAAACAAATTGAGAATATCGTAAAATTAGGCTTCATGTTCTTAATATAAAATATTATTTCTCTTTTTTTCTCTTTAATGCGACATGCTTTCAATCACAGCCGTAGGATTCCTCTCACTGTTCCCATCAACTCGAAAAAAAAAAAAAGGTTGTGACCGGCGCATTTCTTCAAAGCAAGATTCTCGCTTGCACTCTCGTTCTCTCTCTCTCAGCTGTACTCCCACCTCTTTTGCTCTCCCTCCTGGTACTTTTCTAGTTTCTTCTCTCTTTACATCTCTCTTTTTCCATCTGGACAGTATCTTAAAAAAGAAATCAATAAAGTTCCACAAAACACCCTTGTATTTCTTTCCAGACACATGGAGCAGCGTAGCCGTTGCATCTGTGAGACCTAATGTATAGGACTGAAACGAAACTGTGTCAGAAGCGTGTGTGCAGAACATGTCCATGTGTGAGCTCACATAAAGACACAAGTGTCTCCCTGTGAGACGACAAGCTTCTCTGATCATCTCTGACTTTTTGTGCAGTAATGACTCCCAGGCCCGGGGTTTTCTTCTACCTCGCGGTCTGTGGCCCAGTATGGTTGTCCTGGCTGATGAACAGCAGAGACCCATCCCCATCATTCACTGCTGTACCTTTGGGTTTTAAGCATAGGATTTAGTTGTTGTTTTTTTTCAAAACACGTGTAATGATCGTCTTGCTTAACTGATGGCGTGACTTGGCTGTGATTGGGAGAATCCTGAAAGACAAATCGGTCACAGACGATGACATCCTCCTTCAGACTCATTTCCTCACTCGTGTACCCATTCACAGTTGCAATAAATCAAATACACATACACACACCATAATAAAAAACCAACCCGGTCTCATCCCAAGACGTCATATAACTGACGTTTTGGGACGTCTTTTGACCATACGTCAATATTCGCCTTTTTAGGGCCCCCTTAAACGTCGGTAGATGAGGTTATGGGATCCTAACTCTACCCCATACCTAAACCTAACCCGTCACCTAACTGACGTTAAAGGTAAAGCGTCAGTTGTATGACGGCCCGGGATCGCCATCTACCGACGTTTAAGGGGGCCCTAAAAAGGCGGATATTGACGTATGGTCAAAATACGCCCCAAGACGTCAGTTATATGACTTTTTGGGATGAGACTGTGTTGTAAAAAACATTTAAAATATGATTCAAGACAGAAATGAGATCAAACAGAAAGGAAATGGACACTTGAAGTGAAGAAATAAAATCATGGCAATGGCAGTCTGTCTTTTTGAGACCAACTGTATGTTTTCCTTGGTCTTTATAGGCCTTTTGATTCAAAGATTTTTTCCCAAGAGTTTGGGAATTCCTTGAACTGTGTTATCCACATCTCTAAACACTGATCCTTTGATCTAAAGCAACTGACATGGCATTCAAAGTAAATACATACCTATCAGTCCTTGCATTGACTGGGAATCGAACCCATGACCTTGGCGTTGCCAGTACCATGCTGAACTCTTTGAGCTGGATGAATGTCAACAATTTTCTCATTTTTTTCCCCTAAAGAATTTCAGGAGATACATCTGAGACAAAGTTGACATCAAAACATAATTGAGAAGTCGGTTTAGTCTACAACAGAGCAACTTCTGTGCAATGCACTACATTATAAATGAAATGCAAACAAGGACGTGGAAGCGTTTTATTTTTTACATTACAGCAGTCACTGTAAATATACACTTATGCACAAGCCTTTTCCGATGTTTGCGGAATATATCCACTGGGAGCCGGACTTTGAGTGTACCTCGTGTTCATTTAGCTCTCTGGTTGACAAACATAATATTATGTTTTCTCGCCCAGCTGAACGGAGAGGGCTTGGAAAGGAACTCAAGCAACAGTTAGGCCACAAGGCATCTCTGTGTAGGAAAGTAAAGTGAAAGTCACCCTCTGATGTGCATGGTTGTTTGGATACAAAACACAGCCGCCAGCCGACGAGGGGCTAACTGTCCGTCACATCAGGTAGCTCCCAATGACCTCACCTGGGTTAACACGTTAGACGATGCTCTTTCTGTTAAGATGGAAATCGCTGCTTCTTTTTCCAGTGGTGATAATTGGGGTGTGGGGAGGAAGTGGAAAGTAAACAACTAGATGAGAGGATTTGGAGTGGTGAGGGAAATGCGTCATTATGTTGCAGTTAACGTTAAATGTCCCAGTGATTGATGTTAAGACGAGAGAGCTTAAGTGTGTACATCCATTTGTTTGATATGTGTTTGTGTGTGGTTTAAACAAGTCAAAATGTGCATCTCCAAATAGCACCCCAACAAAATGGGCCATGCTTGTGGTTTGTTCTGTGGGGGAGACTCATTTCCCCACCATTTCTCGTTTCCCAAGATCTAATTTTGTGGATATTTGTGTCTTTGTGCGTCTCAGGTGAGCCAGAACCTCTGGAACAGCAGCAACAGCAGCAGGTCACGGCCAATGAGGGTACCGAACTATTTAACTACAAAGGAAATGATGTCGAGTCATTCATCTCCACCAGCTCCCCTTCGGGCTTGTACCAGATGGAAATCATCTCCACCGAAAAGGACAGCAACTTCAAGATTTACTCGACCACAACTCCTGAGTCCGACCAGCCATACCCCGAACTGCCTAACGACCCCAGGGTTGATGTTACCGCGCTGGGTCGCACCACTGTCACACTAGCCTGGAAGCCCACTCCTACTGGCTCCGTACTGGGCCAGCCGATCCAGTACTGTGTGGTTATTAACAAGGAGCACAACTTCAAGAGCTTGTGTGCCGCAGAGGCCAAGATGAGCTTGGATGATGCCTTCATGGTCGCGCCAAAACCCGGCCGGGACTTCAGCCCCTTTGACTTTGCTCATTTTGGTTTCATCCCATCTGAGAATGATTTCAATAAAGATCGTTCCCTCACCACCAACAGAGCTCTGAGCAACAAGATGAGTCGCACTTACATCCCCAAGCCAAAAGTGGCAGACATACAAAAAATCTGCATAGGCAACAAGAATATTTTTACCGTGACAGACCTAAAGCCAGACACGCAATTTTACTTTGATGTGTTCACCGTCAACACGGGCACCAACATGAGCACTGCGTACGTGGGCACTTTTGCCCGGACCAAGGAAGAGGCCAAGCAGAAGACGGTGGAGCTCAAGGACGGGAAAGTAACGGACGTCTTCATTAAGAGGAAAGGCAGCAAATTCCTTCGTTTTGCGCCGGTCTCGTCTCACCAGCGCGTCACGCTCTTTGTGCATGCCTGTCTGGACGCGGTGCAAGTTCAGGTGCGGCGCGATGGGAAGCTCGTCCTCTCTCAGAACGTGGAGGGCGTCCGTCAGTTCCAGCTCCGCGGAAAGCCCAAAGCCAAGTACCTGATCCGTCTGCGGGGGTCCCGCAAGGGCGCCTCCACCTTGAAAGTGCTGGCTAGCACACGTGCCGGAGGCAAGCAACCTTTCCCCGCGCTTCCCGAGGATACCCGTATCAAGGCTTTCGATAAGTTGCGTACCTGTTCTTCCGTCACCGTGGCTTGGCTTGGCACGCAGGAGCGCAACAAGTACTGCGTCTACAAACGCGAGGTTTCGGAAAGTTACGGCGAAGAGCATCGGCGCCGAGAGCAGAACCAGTGCGCCGGACCGGAGAGCCGTCGCAAATCCGAGAAAGTGCTTTGCAAGTACTTCCACAGCGCCAACCTGCAGAAAGCCGTCACCACGGAGACCATAACGGGCCTCGAGGCGGGAAAGAGCTACCTCCTGGACGTTTACGTGGTGGGACACAGCGGGCACTCAGTCAAGTACCAGAGTAAACTGGTGAAAACAAGGAAGTACTGTTAAAAAAAGAGACTCCGAAGCACAGACTCTGCACAGAAGTAAATATATTATATATATAATGAGAAAAAAGAAGTTTATTTAACTCGAAGTGATATTCTACTAAGGAGAGTTTTGCAGACTGACTACTTGCGCACAATGCTAATGCTAACGCTGCATGTGTCGCAGTTACTGAACTGCCTGTAGAGTGAGATATCCACCTCTGTATTTATGTTTACATTACCGAGTCGAGTCAGGCGCTCTCAATCGACCTTAGGCACCTGAAGGTTTGTTCTCAGGGGGTGCCATCGCTGTTGCAATGCAAAGAGTCCCTGTACTGCATCCTCAATGCCATGGAAATAGGAGTTTGGAGGAGTTGCGGTTCTCTTTTCGCCACTGCATGCACCATTCGTCTGCCTTACGTTCTGTTTGTTGGTTCATTACGCCAGCCATCGCAGAGGTACCTCCATGGCTCCTTCTCTCCGCTCTCCTGCCCTGTATTAAAACATGGTTTAGAAGACTTTTTTAAATTATTTCATACTTCTTAATGTTTTATTTTTTTAACTGGTATTTTTTGTTGTTGTTGTTGTTGTTATTGACAACAATTATTAGTGGTAAAAAAGTGTTTAAATCTATATGAAAGTCAACGTTGTTTCCCCACTGTCATTTTGTGTGTGTATAATCTCAGTTTGTGAATCTGGTGTGTGTAAATGTGTCTCATCTCTTTGTCACATGTACAGATTTTCTCTGCCAATATTCATGTACATAAAACACTAAATATAAACATCTGTAATCCCAGTGATTCTGTGTTTCTCTGCCAGTATTATAAACATGCCCACATGAATGAGGTGTATGTTCTGCTAGGAAGTGAAGGTTCATCGTAGATATATACATACTGTAGATGTCACATTCGGCCACTCGAAGCGTCCGCCATCTTGGAACTGTTGACATGAAGCTGTTCATCACTCACACTTATGCTGCGTTCATGTGCTATGGTAATTATGGTTAATATCAAAAGCCGACGTGGAAAATGCACAAGAACACCCGCTCATGTGGTATTTTCCACTGGGCAACTCGTAGAATATTTTGATGGACGAGTTGCCGAGATGAGATAACCTTTGAACCATTTTAAAAATGGCGGAGAGCACCGCAAGAGTCGTGAATGGTAAAAATATATACTATTCATGATCTAGAAAATATATAGCACCTTTTGAGTTTTGATAAATCATTTTCTTGCTTTTCTAGATGACTTAAGCAATCTAAAATAGTTTTAGCTGAATAATAGGTCTGGATCTCTCTCTTTTCACCACATTACGACAACAAAAGCACTTGAACGTAACACACTGGTAAACACCAGTTCACCAGTGGAAAATATCCTACTTTCCAGAGCACGTGAACGCAGCATAACACATCAATGCATTTTCATAGAATTTTCTGCCTAAGGTTGTAAAAACCACTGAGCTACAGTATACATTCCAGACAGATAGAGGATAACTTCTAGCCTAAAATCTGCAATATCGTTACACAGAATTATTACATTAATCATAAGCGAAATGCTGTGAAAATCATTTGCTGATGTCTATTGATGATACAGATATTCATACATGTGAATAACTAGGTTGCAGAAGCTCATTTAACCAGGTCTTGAATGGTCACAGATAGGATTTGACCACTCCAATATGGCGGACTTCTTACGTATAGCAGCCCATAGAAACCGACACTAATGAGGAATCTATAGACGATATATAAAAATCTATGTGACTCAAAGCAATTCATGTCATGCATACATAGAATATCTAAATGTTAGTTTACAACAGAGCACAAAATCATTTTGTCAACTCAGATATGCATTTACACAATAAGAACATTTCCCCATAATTACTGTTTCTTTTTCTCCTTCACAAACACTTGTAGCCTACACAAAAATATAGAGGTGAATTGTACATGATGCTCAAACCAAATCATACGTCTCACTGTCAGTCGAGTGTCTTTCCTGAGGAGCTTGGTTTGAGCTCCCTTCACTGCCTGTCAATCACTACAGACATGACAGAACTTTGGCTGGCTTAAGTTAACCTCGTTTCTGCCCTGCAATAATGAGGAAGACCATTGGGAATGGTGTGGGAATGGTTTGGGAATGCTTCAGGCAATGGTTTGGGAATGCCATGGATAGCCCTTTACAGAGAGGCTAATGAGAACGTCAGCAGTGTGTGTGTGTGTGTGTGTTTGTGTGTGCAAACCTCACAGAAAGAGGGTCAATTGGAGACTGAATGTGTTTTTAATAAAACCAATATTCCCTGGATCCCAAGTCAATCAAAAGAAGAGGTGGCCAAAGCATTCAAATTTTCTTTTCTTTTCTTTTCTTTTCTTTTCCAAACCTTAGTGAACACCCTTGCTCACTACAGTCTACATATATAACGACTTGCCTTCTATACACTACACAAATAGTGAAGAACATCGGAGACAGTCTCACATAAACTTTTCACCAGAGACTCAACTCACAATCAATGTTATTTTTATTTAAAGGGTTAGTTCACCCAAAAATTAATTATTCACCCTCATGTTGTTCCTACCCCATAAGACCTTCGTTCATCTTCAGAACACAAATTAAGATATTATTGATGAAATCTGAGAGCTGGATCACTCCTCCATACTAGTCCATAGGCTTCTTGAGGGATTGAGACTTTACGGCCCAGAAAAGTTATTAAAGACATTGTTAAAGGGATAGTTCACTTTGAAATAAATTTTTGATATGTTTTAGCTTACCTCAAGGGCATCCAAGATGTAGGTCCACCAAAAAGCATGCACAGAGAAGTCCAAATTAAACATGATTTAATGACTCGTAAATGTAAGTACACACTGATGGCCTAAGACACGAAACGAGCGGTTTGTGTGAGAAAACGAACATTATTTATATCGTTTTTACCTCTTGTAGCCTAATCATAGCCATGACAAAATGATCTGACGGCACGGGCGCTTCGGTCTGCGCATGCGCTGGAAGTGATCGTTATGTCACTCTTTGTTTATACAGAGATTTCGGAAGTTTTACCTTTCACTAAACATATTTAGATATACGGGAAACCGCAATGGAAGACGATTTCGGTATATCTAAATATGTTTAGTAAAAGGTAAAACTTCCGAAATCTCCGTGTAAATATTGAGTGACGTCACACGCAAGCGATCACTTCCGGCGTAACATTGAACTGATTCAGTTCGGTTCAGTTGGACATTGAACAACGTATTCAGATCACTTGGATTACACGAGGTAAAAACGATATAAATACTGTTCGTTTTCTCACAAAAACACGCGTTTTGTGTCTTAGACCATCAGTGTGTACTTACATTTACGAGTAATTAAATCATGTTTAATTTGGACTTCTCTGTGCATGCTTTTTGGTGGACCCCCTTTGCCTCCAGTGTTTGACTGACAGACAACAACGGTTTGACTGAAAAATGTCAAAATTGAAAATACTGCGGAAATAAAGACCCCTACATCTTGGATGCCCTTGAGGTAAGCTAAATCATACCAAAAATTAATTTCAAAGTGAACTATCCCTTTTAAATAGTCTAAGTGACTTCAGTGGCTCAATCTTAAGTTTATCAAGCGACGAGAACACTTTTTGTGCACAAAAAAAAACAAAATTTACGACTTTATTTCAACTATTACTTTCCTTCTCTTTGGGCCTCTAGTCAGTTAAACATCACACGTAGGCTCACTATTGGCCGACGCTGATCATGTGTGTGATCGTGTGAAGTACAACAACAGATCGGCCAGAGAGAAGTAAATGAATAGTTGAAATAAAGTCGTTATTTTTGTTTGTTTTTTTTCGCACAAAAAGGGGTCTCATCGTTTGATTAACTTAAGATTGAGCCACTGAAGTCACTTGGACTATTTTTACGATGTCTAATAACTCTAAGGCCTATGGACTAGTAAGGAGGAGTGATCCAGCTCTCAGATTTCATCAAAAATATCTTAATTTGTGTTCCGAAGATGAACGAAGGTCTTACGGAGTTGGAACAACATGAGGGCGAGTAAATACTGACAGAATTTATATTTTTGGGTGAACTAACCCTTTAAAATAGTCCAACTGACTACATCGGTTCAACCTTAAGTTTATCAAGTGACGAGAATACTTTTGGTGGGCCTCTGAGTGAGTTCACGTAGTGGCCGAGGCTGGTCATGAGTGTGATGCCGTTAGTGAGCCGACGTACTGACGCTGTTTCACTACGTGAACTCACTCAGAGGCCCACACAGTAGAAGATAAAGTCATTATTTGTGTTTTTTGTTTGTCACTTGATAAACTTAAAGGAGCCGTATGTAAGACTGTGGCCAAAAATGGTACTGCAATCACTTTCAAATTACTGTAGAGCGGTGCATCACCTCCGCCTTCCCCCTTGACTCGAGGTTGCCAGACAGGATGCAGGATCCAACATATTTGTATCTGCAACAGTGGTAACTAGAGAAGATCTGGCAACCCGAATGCTGCAACCATGATTGGTGGATCAGTGGAGGGTGGCGCATCAAACCAAAACACAACATCAACATCAGTCGAGGGCTGCAACTTCACTTTTTAAATGACAATATCCTGGGCGGACTGCTGGTGTCAGTGATAGTAGTATTTGAAATGAACATGATTTCTTAATGTGTAGTGACATATCGGGGACATTCTGATTATTTGAAATCAATTTCTTACATACGGTTCCTTTAAATTTGAGCCACTGTATTCACTTGGACTATTTTAATGATGTTTTTACGAACTAAAAAAGTTTCGTGATTACAATAGAAGCCTAAGAAGGAGTGATCCAGCTCTCAGATTTGATCAAAAATATCTTACTTTGTGTTTTGAAAATGAATGAAAGTCTTCTGGGGTTGGAGCAACATAATTACTGGCAGAATTTCTGGGTGAACAAACCCTTTAAAAGTTTTTACTTAGCTTATTTCAAGGCAGATGCAAACGTGTGGTCAGTCCATTGCGCATAATTATTGTACAGACTTATCTTGTGCTTCTGTGGGGTAAACTACAAATGACCGTGCCATTAAACTGGATGCTTTTCTGTGATTGCTTTATTTCTCAAAGGATTTGTGGTGTGCTGATAAACAGGTGTCTTGCTGTACTGCATCTTGGCATTGGTTGCAGTCCATCAAGTTAGGCCGCTCATTAGACTTTGGAAAAGAGCTTATGTTTACCTTTTGAACTTTTGTAGCTATCCCTCCCACTCAGTCTTTACACACACACACACACTCACTCCATTTAGCTTGTTGTATGGAATTCTTATGAGCCACAGTTGCTGAAGTTGGCCGCCAACACTCACTCAGAGTAAGATGATAACACTATCAAAACAGGTCTTCTCTCTGTAAAAGCAGTTCACATTGGTGTTGTAAAAGAGGAAAATACTCAAATACACTGAATAAACGGTCTCGTGCTGGCCGTCTGCTCTCCTGGGACTATAAAAGGAGAGAGATGTGGTTGTTAGGGGGAAGAGTGTGAGAGATATAAAGCCAGAGAAAACAGTGAATGAAATAAATATAGAGGAATGGAAGCCACGATTCAGAGTGATGGGTTTCAGCTTTTAGCGTTGAACTTTGTTCGTATCTGATCTTTGGGAGCACTGACACTTTTGAAGATAGTTTGTGAAGAAGAGTCTGAAATATATCACACACACACATATTCGCTGCTCAACACCCACATACAAACTCTGGTTATGATACTTGTGAGTGATGGTGTTTGCAAGACAGAAATGCTGATACTATCAAACCGCATCCTGGCAGTTCTTCTAAGGTCAGACCATCTGTACCTAAACTCC